TTTTTTTTTTTTTTTCCCCTTTTCTTTTTCTTTCTTTTTTTCTTTTCTTTTTTTTTCTTTCTTTTTTTTTTTTTTTTTTTTTGAGACTGAGTGCCTCACTCTCTAGCCCATGCTAGAGTGCAGTGGTGTGATCTTGGCTCACTGCAACCTCTTCATCCTGGGTTCAGGCAGTTTTCCTGCCTCATGCTCTTGAGTAGCTGGGATTGCAGGCATGCACCACCACACCCGGCTAATGTGTGATATTTTAACCTATGTTTACTTTAAACCCAAAGAACTTATATTATTTATATTATCTATATTAAGTTTACCCATATATTTACTCTTTTCTTGCCTTTTATCTCCCCCCAGATCCCCCCTTCATATCTTTAGGCTTCTATCTGGGATCATTTTCTTTTTCCTTAACGATTACCTTTATTGGGTTTTTCTTTGCCGAAATTGAAGGGGAAAATTACTTTTCCTTCTTTTTTTTTTTTTTTGAAATTTTTATTGTGGCTACTTATATAACATAAAGTTTGCCATTTTAACCACTTGTTAATTTAAAATTTTAAATTGTGGTAAAATACACGTAACATAAAATTTACCATCTGAACCAGTTTTGAATGTACAGCTTAGTGGTAACCCCCTTGGGAATCTCATATAGGTGGAATACAGTGTTTGTCCTTTTGTGGTGGCTTATTTCTCTTAGCGTAATGTCTTTAAGGGTCAATCTTGTTCAGTGTGCTCAATAAATTTGAGCCATTTTTGTTTTCTGCAGTGGTGGTTTTTGTTGGCTTTTTCACCCAGACATGCTATTTTGTTTGCTGATTGAAGTCCTGAGTGTAAGGCTAACTTGTCGATTCCCAAAGCCATCTTGTCCTCCTCAAGTGGTGTCTGTGAGATATGGTTTCCATTGTTAATTGGTATTTGCTTGCAGAAAAATGTATCATCATCTGTTACTCATTTGGTTTCTCTTGTTCTGCTAGGACCCTGGTTAGGAGTAGAATGGGACAATCCCGAAAGAGGAAAGCATGATGGGAGCCACGAAGGGACTGTGTATTTTAAATGCAGGTAACTTTTCATTATGAATCAGCATGGCCATTTAGTCAAGATTATATCTAATAGTTGAATAAGGAGGGATGGAGAGGAAGGAATGGTTGGCTTGTGGAGTAGTTATAGAATTTGTTGTATTCTAAAAGGGCAGTTATTTTATTTGTGGTGTAATTGCTGTTTTGTAGAATTTTTCCCTTTTTAAAAAAAATTCTGATGACCTTATGGGTGGCATTGCTTTCTTTGTCCTTTATTGTTTTTTGACAGTCCTCTAAATTGGATGAATGTAAAGCTTTCTAGCTCATTACCGATTTACAATCCAGTAGGTGAATAATAGAAAAGAGAAATAGGCCGGGCGCGGTGGCTCAAGCCTGTAATCCCAGCACTTTGGGAGGCCGAGGCGGGTGGATCACGAGGTCAAGAGATCGAGACCATC